TCAAGGCAGGATCGCGTGAGGTAGTTGTATATATCTTGATGCTCGCCACACGCTATACATTGAATGCCTTCTCACCAGGGAACTTGGCATGGGCAACGTGGCCATGCAAACCGTCCTTACATATGTGGCACACGTTTGGTGCAGGGGAACCTGCCAAAGTCTTTGGCTATATTCCAGACTGCAAGGGGAACTTCAATCTTTCCGACGACAGCAAGTTCCACCTGCGCGTACACTTAGCTTTGCAGTATCCCGTGCGAAACTATTTTCGAGTTGAGCGCGTAGTAGCCGTGAGATTGGCCAAGAGCGTGCTCATTCTAACTGCAGTGAAGTACGCCACCGGGTCTACACTGATCCACTACGACAACGATGTTAACCCAGCCTTCCACTGTTATGAGTGTGTATGCACCGGCCTGAGTATCTCTCAAATCACTGGTGGCACTTACTCCAGACTCATCCAGTGCCTGACGTCACAAGTTCCTTCCCTAGGATTCCATGACGACCTTGCCAAGTATCAACACTTGTACGCACCGTCTGGAGGACCCCAGGTGCTTCATCGAGTGAAGGTCGCCTGTCTACAATCTACGAAGAAAGCGAGGAACAAGACGTCGAGGCTATGATGATGGAGGAGTGGTGCGATGAGTTGCGTATGGACCTTCGTCCCACAACGGTAATCGACGACTATCTCTACTGCTTCCCAACAACCATGCTGCCCGACCAATGTGTCTTGGTCTCAGCATCTGTGGACGAGGGAGATACCGTTGTGTCGGAGATGCTCGGAGACGAGCCTGAACAGCAAGAGCCCTGTCTTGTCTCTTTATGCTCGACTACACCTGACGAGGGCTCTTCTCTTGACAGTGATGAATCTGGTCCATATGGAGTCCATATGTCGAGCTATGCTTTACGCCAGAACTGTCAAATATCGTGTTGGATTCGACCCAACTCGCACAGCTCGAACCAAACATGGTCGCAACGATGAGAGTATACGTGCCATCGGCTGCTAAACGTGCTGTGGTAGTCAAGCAAGACGACCGACTCACCAAAGCCGACATAGCAGCACATCCTAAAGAGGTTAGTGCAGCCTGCTACACCGATTTCAAGATCTGGCATGACAACCGATGTTTCGAGATGTATGGCCTATCACAAGCTTCCAACATCATGACATCAAGATATGTAAGTAAGTGGAAGTTTGTGAAAGTAGGCACCGAGAATGTTGACGCCACCCGTCTTAGACTTGTCCTCCGCGGATTCATGGACACGGAGGCTTTCGATGTAGAGTCCTTCTCGGGAACTGCCCGCCGACAGTCCCAGGGGTTTCTGGCAAGTGAGGGCGCATTTCTTCCAGAATGGATCTTAGCATCTATGGACATCGACAAAGCGTTCTTCAATGGACTGACATATGAGGAACTTGCTCATGCCACTGGCGAGGAGACTCGCATATGCCAGGCCTAGAGAAAAACGTAGACGACTATGTACAACGTGTCGAAAAGGAGGTTGGTCAATGTACGCTCAACAAAACATTATTTCACCAATTGTGCCGTTCGCTACACGAAGAATGAACCAGGGGATGTGATCATGGACCAGGACGAGTATATTAAACAACTGCGTCCTATCACACATCCTGAGCTTACGGGAGCAGCGGCAGATACCAAGGCGACCAAATTCATCACCGACATGTTCGTTAGCCTGCGAGGAGCTCTCGCCTATGCCCTTCTTTCTCAAGTCTGGCTCATGGTGTATGTGGTATCTCTCCAGAAGATCCAAGAGCCCACCAACTAAGAAGTCAGACGACTGAATGCTGTGACGCGAAAGCTGATCAGCAGCCCGAAACGCATCACCTTTCCTCGGATGAAACCGACGAATGAAGTAGACATACATAGTGATTCGGGGTATCGGAAACTCACTGGGGAGGAGGACGATGCAACCAAGGGCTACGGCATTCGTGGGGCTAGCGTATTACGGCGAGGAAAGTCGCCCCAAGGCAAATCCGTCGTTCACCTTTGCGACGGACTATGCAAGTCACACCGACTGCAGGTGATGTCCAGTTATGCCGCTGAGGCACTTGCAGCTGCACATAATCTTGATGAGTGCTATCCCGCGCTCATCACTCTCCACGAGCTCAGGGCTGGAGCACTTACCCCACGACAACTGCGAGATATGCGTGAAGTTGGAGGCCTAACTATCAGAGTATCCCTTACTATAGACGCTGAGTCTGTATACAAATCGTTATCCAGCAAAGCCCTTGAGATGCCGACGGGACGTACTTTGCTGGGACATATCAGCTGGATACGTGAGCTCATGGATACAGGTATAGTGCATAACGTACAGTGGTGTGACACTAGAGACATGACCGCAGACGGGCATACGAAGGGGAGTATCGATCGGGAGCTGCTCTTGGAAGTGATGTCAAGCACTCAGTCATTTAAGTGCGACGTGAAGCAGTTTGTTCCCTTTCGGGGCCCCGAGGACAAAACCAAACCTACGTCGAATCAATTTTAGTCTGTCCTTGTTGCCCCTGCGGTCCAGTTTGCTAGCGCGGGCGCCTAATGCGGAGGCGCCCTCTTTTCTGCTCGGAAACGAGCCATGCAATTCACGCTTGGGAACGAGCCTGTTCAGGTTGGTTCAGGCTCTTTGCCTTAATGCCCTTTTGCCCGGAGGGGAATAGCCCCTGTTTGGCTTGCCTCTAGCCGGGCCGATAGCCCTTGTCTATCCGAGGGGCTATCCTGTGCGTGCGTGGAAAAGTTTTGCGAGGAAGCTCGCCGGCGAATAATCTCGCCCTTCAGTCTGTTGGTTGACCAGACTGCGTGTGCTGTTTTCCTTGCAAACAGTTGCGCGCGCCTGTCGAGAGCCTAGCGACCGCGCGGCTTTACTCTCCGTCTCTTCCCCTCCCGACTTTAAGGGTAGCTCTTTGGGAGATGTTTCAGATAATCGGGAGTGTAGCATGCGCGTCGCTGCCTTATGGCTCAAGGCACGCGCGCCCTATTAGC